TAATACTTAAGCTTCGAGAACATACATATGTATCTACAAAGAAATGGAGAAAGCTGTACTTACTCTAATCTGCCTTCAATCTGCGAATGGAAATATCTAAAGGCAGCTGTTGCGTGCTCATTGAGAACTGAGGGATCAATATTTAAATCAAAATCATTGACATAGCTGCCACTCGGGGCCTTGTAGATCAGGCGATTCTTTAACATATTCTCGCCTCCCAGGAAAATCGGCAACCACTCATAGTAGCTTATTTGCTGATATTGGGCTATATTGATTTTGCGGGCCTCCTGGAAAAGGGTGCGGTCATCATAGTGGGGATTAAGTGCTGCCAAAGCATCTGCTATTCGATTGTGCTCGCGCAGAAGAACTGTTTGCAGTATCGCCAGGCCGGGATTTTGATTGACACGTACATCTCCGGACCTGTAGCAGACCTCGCTGGCATCAACTGCATCGCAATCCCCGGTGACGTTGCGGGAGAGTGGCAGCCATTTGCCTCCATTTCGCTCCTCTACAATCATGCGACCCCCTTGGAACTCTCGAATATCGCTGTTCTGCTGTATTGAGTTGCCATAGACTAGCGAGAGATCAAGATATGATGTGACCACGGTCAGTTGCTCTGCAGGTCCACCGGCGTACTGGCAGCTTGAGTCGCGATCTGTGAGAGTTCGGACAAAGTTGAGGCACTCAGTGCCCACCTGGGAGTATGCCGGATCATGTGGTGGTACGATGATGGCGAAGCAAGTCTTATGCGCCGTGTCTAGACCAATAAGGCGGCCATCATCTGTGCAGCACCGCGTCGGATGCTTCTCTGCAGGGGAGGAGAGTCAATTTGGAATTTGGAATTTGGAATTGCCTGTAATCGTGAGCTACCCACTTACTGGATTGAGTGCCACCCGCTTGCATGCTCATGTCATGCGTCATTATTTGGCCCCATTGCATATTGTGGAGCGTGAATTCCGGATCAGGTACGTCCTGCTCTCCGAATGCCACCAACGAGACTAGGCGAGCGCTGGGCAGTTCGTCTCCAGTAACCGATCGAGTAGGTGCTGATATGCCGTCAGCGTATTTAGGTGTCAAAAGGCGACCATACCTAGGGAAAAAATGTGACAGTCTGACGAAAGTCGGCGCGGCGAGGTATTACCTAGTGTTTGCGACTCCTAGTCCGGGTTGCTCCAAATGGTTGCAGGATCCGTCCAGAGTACGGTATGCTGTTTTCTCACAAACTGCAGGGGATTGAGCGCATGACACTTGCCCCGGAGTTGGAAAACTGTAGCCATAGGCAGTAACGGGGGGGTTAGCTGCCGGTCCAAATGGGGTTTGTGGAGCGGGTGAAGTAGTTCCTGTTGCACTTGGTAGTCCATTCCTGCATATAAATCACATACATACTCGTAAGTCCGAAAAATGGAAAGCCGGTACTAGCTACGGCACCGGGAACTTACCCAATTATGTACGGAGCTGAACCTTGAAGATAGCTGAATCCGTGGAAATTGGGATAGGACGGTTGGTTGTGCACAATATGGTAGCCCGTAGAAACTTTGAGCCCCAGCGTGTTGCAGGAGAATCCCAAAAGGGTCAAAATCAGAGCAGTGTCCATCTTGAATGAGAATAGCGATATTTCAGAATATGAATCAGGGTGCCGGATAATTTGTCCTTCATCGGTCTTCGCTTCTCTGTGGTTTATTGATGGTTGTCATCTGACAATGTGTGTCAAAATGGCAATACTTTATCGGTTGTAAATGTAAACATCCTCTGTTGCCCTGGAAACCTAAATAAAGCTTCGATTTGGCTTCGACACTTCGAGTGACTAGAAGATCATGCATACATTGTTTATGTCTCATAGCAGTCCCCTGCTAGTCTTGGTGTGCACCTGTGGCCGACGAGGTGATTGGAGTCTAGCACCGACATCGTGGACACATTCATGTTCACCGACCACTCGGAGCAAGTGAACTATAAGTGGAACGCTTTGCATTTTTTTGCCGCGCATTGCCAACCAGTTGTGGGGAACCTTTGCATTGAGTCCGCGATCGATCTGGACTCCTACTCCTGTAGCCAGGTACGGTCGCAACAGGTTTCGTCACCATTTCGGTGCGCATTCATTATTATTTATTGCGACATTTTAGACCTAGTACGAGCACAAACATGTTCATTTCATTGCGGAGACTGAGACTGAAAGTCTGAGCTGGTACTCATACTCGTACTCGTATCAAGTCCCAAGCACAATGGAATCAATTCAGATTCGTGCTCAGACTACAAGCGTGAAAAGTCTCATAATTGTTTTTATGGTAACTGCATATTTGACCAATTTGCAAGCTACTTATGTAAACAGACTGAATTGACAGTAATAGTTGGCTTTACATAATGAATTTGTCTGCGCACAGCCTCCGAATTCGTTCTGCGGACTCAGCGACTCCCCGCAACCTCCCAGCCCTACGGCCGCATGCACCACGATTCGCAACCTTTTGTAGAAAAGGCCAGCTGCATGCAAATGCGCAGATATTCGATGCCGTGGCAGAAACAAAGGCAAACCCTGTAAATGTTTTAATTGCATGTTGCACAGAACAATGGACCAGCCAGCACCACCAGTGTGATCGGAACAACTTTAATTCAAATTCGTGCCAGTTCGCAATGAGTCTTGTACCCTCTCGGTCTGGTTTAATGTCGCAGTTCCAGGAAACTAACAAGAGCTGCGCCAGTTGTGGATTTGTTATTTTGAACTGGGTCACTGCATGATTGAAAGTGCCGATTGACCGGCCTGACTTGAGTTTCTAACTCCACTCTAATGTTACCCGTTTGTAGACAAACCACAGCAAGTACTTGAATTTAAATTGCAACTCGAGGCGGACCCGCGAAGGCTCTCTGCAGCCGTTGGTCAGGGCCGTCCGTACAAATGTGTGGGGCTTTATAAATATTTATGTACATGTGTACAAAAGTCAATCACGAATTATTTGCAAATATAAATATCTGATCATGGTATCGAGCTACACATACAGCCGAAAGAAAGAGCTATTCTGAAAGAATTAAATTCCATTTATTCAGTCATGGTATCATTCTGTATTCTTTCCAAATGACATGTAATTTGTAGCATATAATTTATACACGCAAGTTTATGCTACTTAGCTCTTTGCCCCAAAAAACTTTCTATCATTGAAATCTCAGGCCTAGCCCAATACACGGTTGATTTTGGTCACAGCAACAAAAGTATTGGGACAATTCGAGCAAATTTTTTACAACCTTAACGACTTCTAATTAAAAACGAATTCATATCCAGATCTTTTTGGTGATCATTAAAGTGTAAATAGTCATTGAGACGCGGTGAGAAATGGACGACGAAATGATTGATTTATTGGCAGACTACTGTTTGAGTTTACCGGCTGCCATATGAAGGCACCAACGGTGGGGTACAACATTATTGCAGTCTGATTACAGGCATACAAAACTACGTGGTGCGCACACAAATCAAAAACATTCCGATTGGTCTGGCCGATAGAGTAACAAGCACTAATTGAAATGGCCATTTAAAATGAAAGTGTCCCAAGCGTCAAGCACCTTAAAGTCGTGCACATCAGAAGCAGTTGCTCTGGTATTTCATGTTGCCTCAAAGTGTAGTAACCACCACGCAACTTCTGAAACCTGCGCGTTAATTACAAAATATTTCTACTTTTTGAGCTTGAAATCAAATTTATGCAAGGCAATGGCAGCATTTTCTCAAAACGATGTCAATATGCAATTTCATAGCCAAAAGTCTCATGTTGATTGCGTAATATATTGAAGCCGGTACTCAGTACTCCGTGCTCTATACTCTAGAGTCACATGATCAAAGCTCTCGGGCCCATGCACACAACTTCGATGCATACGCTTCTGATAAGTAGCCGTAGGGGGGAGAGCCAGATCATATGCCACGTCCCCGCTTAGACGGAGCCAAGCTTTTTTTCATTGCAAATTTGGAAGCTATTTGGATATTTTCACACATGCCAAATAAGCCCCTCAACCGCCTTAGCGGTCTTATGTTTAGATGCGCCGCACTAATTGATTCTTTACTGTCTTGTGCCGAATTCATTGAACCAGTTTGAATCCAACAAACTGCCATTTTTGTCTGCTATTATTTTGGTGTTGTGGACTAATACTGCCATTCAGCGCAAGCCATTTTATCGTTTCAGAACGTTCAATCTTTCATATTCAAGAATATTTGATATTTTTTGAACACATAATGAAATTAATATAATAATAACTATTCATTCAAATTTGAACCCGATAACATTTGGCGCATATTCTGTCACTGTCGGTGGCATTAGGCAGCACTTTTTCCGGAAACGCGTTAGCGTTTCTAAGTAACAAGTAACATAGAAACATCTATACGCAGGTTTTTTTGAATCTTTGCTATCTCAAATCGTGCTTCCGTGCATCATTTATTCCAATGGATTGCATTTAAAGCCTTACCGGCTTTCCTTGAACCAGTAGGCAACAATGAGTTCCATTCCATTCTTTTAAATTATGTACCTAGTACTAATGTACTAATCTCAGAGAGATTAGTTGGAAAAAACTCTCTGTTTGATGATGACCATTAGTATGATGTCACTGATTTGTTTGGCTCAAAGAAAATCTTTATATAAAATTAACGAAAATTATACAAATGGCCATGCTCAGTTGACAAGCAACATGTCTTCAAATACCAGCACTGCGACTGTTTTTTTGTTGAACATTTTGGCTTAAAGCCGTGTTTTAGTCAAATATTAATATTATTAATATTTGCCGCCATTTACCTCAAATAGTTGAAACTATTTAAATAGAGGGGGCTTAAGTGGGCTAAGTTCGTTTTTTCACCAGTATATTTACGGTATATTTTTAAAATGAGACGGTATATTATCGTATATTCCTGAGTATCGGACGGTATATTTTATCAATGAATCCGAAAAATTATATTATTAATGGAAAATTTACATTTGTTAATGTAAATTCAAGAAATTCGGAACTTAATATAAATGCAATTTCATCTCTATTTCAGCGCAAAGTTTATTCAAGTGGCAAAGCGAGCACTCCGCACGTGTGCGTATTGCGTATTTCCAACCACCTGTGACTTCGACGACACGTAAATTGAGAGTTAGCAACTAAACTGCTTTGATAATTTACATTAAAAAGAACAAATCTAAGAAAATGGGAAGCCAATACGAAGGATACAAGTCTCCCCTGAGTACACGGTATGCCAGCCAGGAAATGCAGTTTCTGTTCAGCGACCAATACAAGTTCTCGACATGGCGCAAGCTGTGGGTATTTCTGGCAAAAGCTGAGTGCTCGCTGGGTCTGGAGATAAGTGAGGCGCAGATAAGCGAAATGGAGAAGGAAATATATAACATCGATTTCGATGCAGTGGCTGAGGAGGAGCGTCTCACAAGGCATGACGTTATGGCGCACGTCCATATCTTCGCCAAGCAGTGTCCTACAGCCGCTCCCGTCATTCATTTGGGGGCTACCTCGTGCTTTGTGGGCGACAACACGGACCTCATTGTTCTTCGGGACGCGCTTCAGTTGCTGCTGCCTCGTATCGCTTCTGTGGTGTCGCAGTTGAAGCAATTTGCAGAAACCTACAAGGACCAACCCACGCTTGGATTTACACATCTGCAGCCAGCGCAGTTGACCACTGTGGGCAAGCGCGCTTGCCTTTGGATTCAGGACTTGCTAATGGATGAACGAGCGCTGTCTCGTTGTCAGCAGGACCTGCGATTCCGTGGAGTGAAGGGTACCACCGGCACCCAGGCCTCATTTCTTCAATTATTTAACGGCGACGGTAAGAAGGTGAAACAGCTGGATCAATTGGTTACCGAGCTGGCCGGATTTAAAAAGGCATATGCAGTCACAGGTCAAACCTATACTAGGAAAGTAGACGTGGAAGTTGTGGCTGCCCTCTCCAGTCTTGGCACTAGCATTCACAAAATGTGTTCTGATCTGCGCATCCTGGCTTCGCGAAAGGAGCTTGAGGAGCCATTTGAAAGCACGCAAATTGGGTCTTCTGCTATGCCGTACAAGCGGAACCCCATGCGCTCGGAACGCTGCTGCGCATTGGCCCGTCACCTCATAACCCTGTTTAGCAACGCTGCCAACACACACGCAACGCAATGGCTGGAGCGCACTCTGGACGATTCTGCCAACAGGCGAATTACCTTGTCCGAGGCATTTTTGTCCGCGGATGCCGCCCTTCTCACGTTGCTTAATATTTCTCAGGGTCTAGTGGTTTATCCCAAGGTTATTGAACGACACATTTCCCAAGAGTTGCCCTTCATGTCAACGGAAAACATAATAATGGCCATGGTTAAGGCTGGCGGCGATCGCCAGATTTGCCATGAGAAGATTCGAGTCCTCTCGCAAGAAGCCGGAGCCCAAGTCAAGCAGCATGGAAAAGATAACGATTTGGTGGACCGTGTACGCAAGGATCCCTACTTTGCGCCTATACTTAATCAGCTCGACAATATACTGGATGCGCGGACATTTATTGGACGGGCTAGCGATCAGGTAGAAGAGTTCGTTGCGGAAGAAGTGGAGCCTGTGCTGGCTCGCTACGCTGACGCCTTGAAGACTGTTAAAGACGTTAAACTGAATATCTAACCCACTGTTTGTTACCCTGTTATCAATCTCGTAGTTTGAACTACAAAAATAAATGAATGCCTTTAATCAAACTAGTGAGTATTGCCTAACAACGCCAGCATCCAATGTAATGTCGGCGCGTCTAAGCTTATCGCTGCATTCTATGGGTCGAGATCTCTGGCAGTTAGACCCCCAGCGTGATTTATATTTCTTCTTGCCTCTGCGCCTGCTGGTAGCTTATTTACAATTAAAAACCGCAAAACTAAAACCCGGCACCCGTATACGAGGTGACGTTCTTGATCCAATGCAGTAAAGATTGTAATTTTTGCCTTAGCCTTTCGCCACTCAGCCTGACATATCACGACTGCAGTGCTCCACGGACGAGAATCGGTTTCCTTTACTTTTCATTATGTACCTACATATATTCATATTCATTTATACATAGTACATATGTATATTCGTCTAGGGGTTATGCAGCTGAAAACGAGTATGGCGTGAAACTTAAACATTTACTAAACGTCTATAAAGTCATGCGAACTGTTCGTATAACACAGTGTACAATTATTAGATGCAATATTAGGTGAAATGACAACTTCAACGTAGTATGGTAAAGACGCTCTGTGGCATGAAAATACTAGCCGCTAACATGTTTCTTGATTAAAGGCATTGGCAAATTAGTTATTTTTTGCATTACGCGTGTAAATTCTGTGGCGGTTTCAATAGATCTATCCCCGATATATGTATGTATAAAGCATGTGTGCATAAAATATAATAAATACATACATATGTACGCTTTTGATGCACCAAAAAGATAGAAAACAAAAAATTTCCCAGGTTTTTTTTTATTCGATTGAATTTTGTATTAGCTCAATGTTTAGTACAAAAGAGGGCGTTTACGACCCCATAAAGTATATATATTCTTGATCAGCATCAATAGCCGAGTCGATAGAGCCATGTCTGTCTCTCCGTCCGTCTCTATGAGCGTCCCTCTATTGATATTTTTAAAATTGAATTAAGTACCAGTACCACCTCACATTTTCCTATAAATCACTTCATAATTCCTTAAAAAACAATTTAGCTTTCTTTTAAGAGAGACTTTGAGAAAAAACTGTTATTAAGAATCATCTTTATTATAGGAGAAGATAGTAAGGGAAAACAATTTATAAAATAATAATAAATACAGTTTACAAGTACATACATTGAAGAATGGTAAATGTACATTAATACATTAATACTTGAAGGGTATGCAAAGATATTAGCTTCCTTACTGATTTCCATTTGTGTATGTACATGTACATATGTATATTCGTGATCTTATGTTACGATACCCTTGTCTTACAGTTTTCCTTTGCTTTGAATAATAAGTATCAAAAGTGAATTGTAAAAATTGCCTATACAGGCAGCTACATCCACTTGCGGTGAGACCAACCCACACTTCTTACTTCACTTCAATTGTTTCGTACAATTACATTTGAGGTAATTATGATGGTCTGTCTTCGCGCAACTGCGGCGTCCGGTGACAATGCCAACCAGAGCAGAGCCAACACGCAGGAGGGGGAATGTACAGCGGATGTATAACGGAAGCAAGCGAAGAAAACAGATGTGCACGCGAGACAAGAAGTCACGTCTATGCGGAAGGATATTGACATTTCGGGTCAGTTTTCTGAAATTTCATGTGGCCATGTCTTGTTGGGAATTCCCTTTGCAATGGCAGCGCCCTCCCAGTCAATAGCCTGGGTTATCCATCGTCTGAACCCTTTTTGGAACGATTTGTTGTCGTAGTCTGTAGAGGAAGCCATCCCGAAAAAAAAGCTAGCCATGAAATGTGTGATTGGATCAAGTTGAATTAAAATGTCTCTAACAGCTCGTGTGGCGCTACGAACGTCTCATGAATCAGCCGCCACGAACGGTTTTCGACTAAGTGAAGTTGTAATCGAGACCAATTATGGACGGATCGGATAATGTTGTTACCGCTAGTCGCAACCGACAGTAGCCGTTGACCGTTTTGTAGACTTTGCTGTGGCCAACAGCACGTGGGGCATAACGAAGACCTTGACTTTGACACTGAATCCATACGTTAAACAGCACTGAAAGTGAAACTCCTAAACTGGTTGGACCCGAGTCGTCATTCGCTTTCTTCAGCTTACATTTAGTTCGGTTCGTGCTTAGAGTTCGACAACTGCAGCTTGGTGTGAATAAAGAGTGAATGGTATTACCAATATTGAATATATTTGTATGAATTGGACAAATAAAAGTGTTTTGCATGGGACAAAATAATATTAAACAGAAGGAGGATTTGCTAAATGCAGAATCCCATCCCACCAAAAATGGGACTAATTATTTGTAGTAGTAATATTTGATTTGAAATTCAATTAAGCCAAGTCAATTTCAGTTGAATTTTATTTTTATATTATTGATTGTAAAAAAAGAAATAAATCCGCAAATACCGCAGTAGCTTTTAAGATAACTAGCCAATCAATCCTGGAAAGATTCCTTAATCAGAATAGATGCTGAATGTGTTAAAAGCCAGTAGCTGGAAAATACATTCCACACATTTTTCAGTTAATTAATGATGCAATTATTTGATTATTTCAAGCTATTCATTAATTGGTTGCGCCCCTGGCGTGGTTCTTGAACACAAAGCACCCACCACCTGGCATGTGCAAAGCTCACGCGCCGGCCTGTCTGGTCTGCATGGCCTGCATGGCTTAAGCAGTGCAATGCAATTTGTTGCAACGGCTTTGATTTGCAACCAATCCTATACCATGAGCTCTCGGTGCTACGGTTACGATTATCCAGTTCATCTCTGCGCCCACTTCTCTTGATGTGAAATTGCTAGTTTACACCCGGGCTAATGTGGCATGCCATTTCTCAAATTATTTTCAAGCATTTAAGCGTATTTAAGCCACATTTGCGCTTTCGCATTTTTCGACAATACCGCAACAAAACCTCTCCTAACCTTCTCTCTACTTTCCCAATTAGTTGCGGAAAGGCAATAAGACACCAGAAGTACGTTACGCTGAATCCAATTTCATAATTGGACAGGTGTGTTCGGCGCTCATTATTGGGGTCCCGCCATGCATCTTAAGCTGGATCATACTTCAGATATATTTATGTATGTTGGGTGTGTGATTGCAAGGGATCAACTATGAATGACGGATATGTCAGAAACTTGCTATAGTGCCTGAACATTATGTATACTGACATAATTTACATACTTGTAGTCCAAAGACCTATCGTGGCTCCTCTGGGGTTTTCAATTAAAAGGCAACACCAGAAATTAATGTTAAAACCAAGTGAATGGCAAGTCGTCAAAGTTGTGGGTAAGCGCATATACACACACTCGTATACACATTCGTATTGATGTATAAACTTTTACATTAATATTGGCTCGGGTTTACATAACAGGCTTAAGATTCCGAATGAGAGAGAAAGTAAAGCTTTAAAACTAGGCGTACAGACAAAATTTAACGTTCATGGCATAAGCAGACGAAACCTGATTGATAGAATTAAACGTGGTCTGTCCGAATTGAATGTCGAATAAATCACTCGAATATTTCAGTGTCTCTGTGCACTTATTCAAACAATGCTCTAAATCTGAAGTCACCTCCACAGACTCTGAATGATGGGCGTGGCGTAACCAAGTCGTCGGCATTATTTGTGATCACTTCAAAGCGCACTTTTTGGGAGGGAAGGGGCTGGACTGAGGCGAACGATGTGGCTTTATTGGATTGAAAGCCTTTGCCGATAAACCAGCCACGGAAACCTGAAGGTCACTCGCTTGGAATACCAAAATAGTTAGGTTTAATAAAAAGATTTGTAACTTTCAACGCAATTGTTTGGCTCCGGTGGCAGAAGTTGCCTGCTGGTAGCGTTGAGTGGATTTTCAAGCAACATTTGACCGTAATTTATATTTAAATAAGCAACTGCTAGCGAAGAAACCGGTATCTGCAATGCGAGTACATTGTGGGACTGTACAGCTTGATAATTAGCTCATTTAAGGACAACCATTAACGAATAAACATAGCAAAATACCGCTAAAGCTAATTCGTTTTAAAGTGTTCGCTTTCATGTGTCTGAAAGATACGATTACCTGTACTTAATGCGATCGTATGTACATATGTATAGGAGTGTGTACATAGTAGTACAACCGTGTGACATATTGACAGATGCGATGCAGGCAATCGAAGACAAATAAACCAAAAATGGTCGTTTCAAATTTACAGACATCGAACAGCTTAGCAAGCAACTGGTCTAAATCCGTAAGATTTATTTCAAACCGAGTTTAATCGTTTTTGTTTCAGTTTTCGGTCACTTTATTGCTTTTGATTGAGAATTGAATATGTATGAATACATATGTATGTATATGCACCTTAACATTTTTAATTTTTGGTTTCGGCACTCGTTTCCATATTTCGTTCTAATCGCACTCACCATGGGTTTTCCTTTTATCCTTTCTCCAATCAGCTTTCTCCAACCGGCTTGTTTTAGAAGATTATGTTTCGAGTTCTTTCACTTGTGTAGTTTGCCACACTAACGTTCGAGCTCAAGCATATTCCTTCAGAGGTATTTGAACACTGTTTTTACAATTCACAAGTCGGGTGTTTCGAGTGCGCAACCGCGAATTCCACGGTAAGCTGAGCAGAGCAGGCTATTGCAGATTATGTTGGTTTTGTTTTCCTCAATTACTATTGGCTCGGATACAATTCACACATTAATTATCAACTACCTCTCGTCACAGTTATACTTATGCACACCTGCCCATCAGCAGGGGAGGGAGCCTAGCGCTAATCCGTTGACTGGACGTTGACGATGGCTTGTGGCGTTGAACCAGATCGGTTGGTTGGTTGGTTAACTGTGGCAAGGCCCAGGGCGAACTAACTGCGCTGCTGATGGTTTTGGGCCTTTTATAACGAATCCGAATCCGAATCTGAATCCACACCAGCAGCAACAGCAGCAGCAGCAGCAGCAGCAGCAGAAGCAGCGTCGACGCCACCAGCTTCAGTGGCGCTGGCGGCGGACTGTGCTTGTGCGACCGTACATATGCTTGGGCCTGGACTAGTCGAGAGCAGGCACTGCGGCGGAGTGGCTC